GTTTTAATTGATATAAGAACTTTATCATTTGATATAAATATTGCTTCAGCTAAATCAAGTGCAATTTTAAGATCATATAATGGTCTTAATGGATATTTTGTTGAATCACGTGTTAAAGTATTTAATGCAACACCATAAGCTGGAATACTTTGATTAAGATAAATAATTGAATTTGTTGCTAAAACAAGAATACCACCTATTGGTTTTGGTACAGATAAACAACTAAGACAATCAAATGGTAATTTATCAACAGGCCATATAACAGGATTAGATTTTTGAGCAACATTTATTGAAAGTGCAACACTACAACATGTATCTTTTTTTACAGCTACACGACCAACCCATGTTCGACTTGATTCACATAATATGAATAATGTTGGTTCATAATAACTATGTAAAAATTGTAAATCAATTATACGACCAGTTAATGATGGATCCAATTTTTTTAAATGAACAATATAAGAAGATAATGATGAACTTCTTGGACCACCAGGTGTTATACCTAAACAGAGAAAACAATTAGAAAATAAAGATTATTAAAAAAGACTGAATTATATAAGGCAGATCGCTTAATAACAACAAAGGATTCTTAAAAGAAAAAAACTCTAATTTAATCATATGTATTGAATTTTGTTAAATATGTGTATAATATCTTTGACAAAAAGTTCAACATAATGTTTTCCATTGTTTCCGAATAGTTTTAGGTTCAACAAAATTTCAAACAAACGAAAGTCTAACACTAAAGTCAACCATAAGTATAATTAGTCTTTAAATCAATAAGATAAACTGTGAAAGTGTTTTTTTTTTAAATCCATTTCGAAATTATCATTAAAAAAATATGAATAAAGTATCACCTTTTCTTTTCTATCAGTTCTCAAAAAACAGTCGACTTATTTAGTTTAATATATATCACATGATACTTTACTATAGACTAAACTTAATAAATTTCATGAAAACCAATATCATTAATTCTACACTTTCTAATGATAAAAGTTTCAAGTTACCGATTCCTTTCCTTTTTTTCTTGAATGCTGTCAAAGATATTCACAAACATTATATTTCTAAATAGACAGTCGTTTCCGTTGACTTTAATATATCGAAGGTCTTTATATATTAATAATTTTCATAATTTCTCTTTATATCCAATTTATCTGTAAAGTCTACTATTGTAATGTTTCAATAGCAACTCCTGTTCATAGCTACGTCTTCATCGATTATTCGTAACAGAATTGATGATCATTTTTGAAGTTTATCGACTTTCAAACAAAAGGCATGTTTAGATATAAATTCACTCTAAAACTGAAAACGGTTAAATAGGATATTTTTCTTCTTTGCATTAATGTTTATATTCTCTCAATATCACCAAAATGAATTATTTTGAAATAAATGCAAAATAATACATAAATAAAATATAATAATACAAGAGAAAGAGGAAAGAGAACTTCGTATCATTAAAGTTGTAGAAAATATGTGCGTATAGAAAATTAAAATGAGATAAATTTCATTTTCATGTAGGCTTATACCAAATTGTTCTTTCAACTTTGTATAACTGAACTAATAGTATTATTATTTGTGTCTTCTTATTTCGTAAATTTCACAGATAGATCTATACATATTCGTTTCTATATAATTTCATGTAATAATACTGACACAATTTCTAATTAAATAAAATAAATCAAAATACATACCTGCTGTACTTGGTATTGTATCACTTGTAATAATTTCTCTATCTAATTGACTAAAAAATGGTATAATAACAAGTTTTGAATTATAAATAAGCATACAAGCACAACGCATGTCAGGATCAACACGTACAATAGGTGGTGAATAATTAAACCATTGACCTTCTTTAGCTAATTCATCTTCAAAATAATGCATTGATAAAGTTTTTAAATCTTGTATTGTTGAATCAAATTCAATTAAGGATAATTTAGCATCCATAAATGATAAAAATAAAGCCTCTTTTGATGGTATTAATGATGTTGATGATGATGATGATGACGATGATGATGGACCAAGATGACATGGTGTTATTGAACAAATATTTCCCCATAGAACAAATGTATGCAAACATTCAAAATTTGATGTATGAGGAGTAACACGATAAACATATAAATAATTTGCACTACTTAATATTAAATTATTTTCTAATGGAGATAAAAAACGAGCCCAAACAGCATATTCAATACCAGTAGGTGGATGAATTGTTTTAAAGATCGAAAACATGCTTTTACTTATCTAAAATAGACAAAATTTGATGATATTGTAAATAACAATAATGTCATTGTACATTAGTTTATTTAACGAAAAGAAAAAAAACCTAACAAAGATTTCCACTTTAATTACTAGTACAATAATTACTTTATTTTTATGAAGAATTCACTTCAGCTTATACCTCCTCAAAAACAAAATGTCAATTTTCGTCAGAAAAATAAAAATTTAGATCATAGCTCGAGGTTTGATCTTTCATAAACGACATGATTTTTTTTTCATTGAGCATGTCATTTTTTCCAAAAAAAAAACTTCCGTCATCCTCCGCTTGAAAACTATGCCTTTTATTAGAAAAAGTGGGAAACGCTTTTCTAATCGTGCATCCCAAAATTCTCCAATGAGGTTCAATGCCCGGTTTTTTTTTAATGAAATTTTTTTTGTTATTACATAGAAAAGCACTTCTATAAGTAGATGATCATTCTTCGAGGAGTTGAACTTCTCATTCTTTTTCTCTGCATAAAAAGTAAGAATTTAAAAAAGGACATTGCAGTATGACATACTCTTTTAAATAAAATCTATAGAATTAGGACCTACAGGAAACTTTTAGTTGATATTTTTGATTCTTATTTGTTGAATATCTCTCGAGATTATCATCATATAGAGCTGAAAGTTTTAGTCTAACCTCTCGACTACGGTTCCAACATATCCTAAAAATTTCATGCGATTTGAATGCACCTGACCCAAGATTGATTTCAATTTATCATCATTATTATAAGTAATGTTTTAAATTAAGTTAAAATGAAAAAGATATTTAATATCTTTGGTAGTTAATCTTTATCAGATTAAATATGATAAAAGTCGAGATACTTTTGTTGTTCAACATCGTTCGATCAATAGAAAAGAAAAAGGGTTATCTAGTTTTCTAGAATAGACGAATGGATTGACAGAAAATACTTTGAAAAGTAAATAATATTGTAGATATGGGGTGGCTCATAAATAATGAATCTTTCAGTATTTTGATCTGATTGTTATTTCAGAAGATGCGCCGTCAAATGTTCTATCCAAATTTTATCTTCCCAAGGAGTGATTTAAAACTTCGGGAATACCAATCCAATCTTCGAAGGAGCGTCGTCCTCCACGTTGAATTTTATGAACCATCCGATATCTAATTTTCTTACAAAACATATACAATCTATTTTGAGACATTATAATTCTGATGATCTCAAATCCAAATATATAGTACAAAACAAAACCTTGTTTTTGTACTTTTTAGTATATGAATACTAGAAAGTATGGTGGTTTTCCTTTCGGATTCTTTTCTTGCATAGACATTATCAATATGAAGAAAAGATTATTTCATACCAACTTATTTCTTCAAGGAAAACAAAAAAAACATTTTTCGTCTTCTTCAATCGTTTTATTATTCAACAATATTTTTCTATAACAATATTTAATACTCATTTTTATTGTAATATTCAATTGATTTTATTTAAATATCTAAAAAGAAAGAGAAGATATTTAAACTGAATATTTCTTTTTTTCTAATATATAAATTTTTGGTGTATAACGCATTCGTAATAAAAGTTGTTTATCAATATAAAAACCATTAAATCCACGAATAAAATCTATAATTTGTAGATTACGAGATAAATATGGATTTAAATGAACATCTTCATCACTTGTTGATTCAACTAATAAATAATCAAAATGAGATAATTCATCAATCGTTAAATTTTCTGTTTTATTATAACTAAAAAACGAAAAAATAAATCTTAGAAATATTTAAATAAATAAAATAATTAAATAACTTACGTCCAAGATTTCATTTCAAGAAAACGAGATATTCCATTTTCAGCCGAATAAACATCAATATGAACTTTAGCTGTTGGTTGATCTAAAACAGTTTATTTAATTTATCACTTATTTCAAAAAATAATTCTTTTTTTTCTTGTTTTACATTTTCTATGTGTATGTAATTTAAGTAAAGCATCAGCACCTGGATAATTATAATGTGAAGCACTCAATGAAATACTTGTTTGAACAAGATTAATTGTTAATAAACTCAAAACAAATAATTTAAGTATCACCGACCAACGTATTCTCATTTGAAATCTGTATATCGCACATAAAAAACATTAAAGAAAAAAAAAAGAAATCTTGAATGATATACGAACAATGACGAACATGCTTGAGCAATAGGTATATTCAAAATTGGAAATGTATAGATAATAAATCGAAGTTCTTTATGCGGTAAAATTGAATAGATTATTATAAATAAAATATTTGGTAATAATATCGATCGAATATGTTTATTTATGATTAAACCTATTGGTAAAAGAATAAGTGTTGCACCAAGTGCTCGTGGTAACGTCGAATAAAAATACCATAAAAAAGGAAATGTCTATAGACATAAAAGATTAAGGAAAATATTTCCTATAATAAATAAAATTATAATTTCAATAATCGACGAAATTCTTTTAGAAAAATTCTAATATTCTATTTTAAGAGATTGTGCATTTGATTTCCGAATCATTTTCGTTCATTTATGTTTGTGAGTTTCATGCCACCGATCATCCCTTATGCTCACTCTTTCTGATTACTTATCATATATATTGTAGACTATAGAATCTATCCGTTAATAATAGACAAAAAGTCTTATTATCAATTCTCTTATCAATATTAAACAATCAAACAAGAAAAAAAAGGATACACCCCAATGTGAACTTTTATTGAGAATTGTATTAAAATAGAGCACTTCGCCTTCAGGCCATAGCCAACGTTGCCAAAACCAACTGTCAACAAGCACACTTAATCCTAAAACGAACCAAATAATCTATAATTTTCTTTAATATAAAAAAAAAGACATTCATTCATTTTACCAACGGCTAAACTACTTGCAATTAATCCATGCTTTAAAGTTTTTTTAAAAGTTAAACGTCGTTTAATAAAAACTTCTTGTAATAAAATTAAACCCAATAGAATAACAAGTTCTGAACGAAAAATAAGTATTGCAAAAGCTGATGTCCATACAAGTGATTTTCCTCGTTTTGAAAGCCAAAATGCTAATGAATGTAGAACTAAACGAAAAACAACAAAAAAAAAAGAAATTTTATAAGATCATTAATTTGAATAAAAAACAAACAAACCAATAACAAGTGCAAATATATTTGGTAATGTTCGTGTTGAATAAAATAATAAATGAAATTGTGTTAATATTATAATTAACCACCAACGTCTTGTTGATAAATCACAATAACCTTTTAATGATTTATATATATGTGTTAAACCTGATATTACTAGTATACCAAGAATAATTCGAACTAAACTATGAGATTTTTATTTAAAAAAAAAAATAAAAATGAATAATTTTTTATTTTACCAATATATTGTAAATAAATAAGATGATCAAATGAAATATTTGAAAAAGGCCAAGCTAATATTGCAATAAATATTGGTCCAAGAAATGTTCGAGGTACAACTAAATAAAAAGAAAAAAAAAGGAATAATTTGTCGTTTTCTTGAAATTTCTGTTTATTCTTACCTCCAGGAAATTCTAAATGATCATACTAAAAGACAAAAAAACAAAAAATTAAATATTTATTCTCTAATAGATATTTATTCTTACATTTGATATATTAAAACGATGAATAAGAAGATCATGAATAGCTTGTAAATTAAAACTTTCTTCAACTTTTGTATATGGACAAATAAATAAATGAATAAGACAAACAATAAAAAGAAGAATGAATGCAAAATACGACTGCATTTATCTAATCTGAAATTATCATAGAAAAAAAAAAAACTAAAAAATATGTCTTATTCCATTCATGTTTACTTTGTTTATTTGTAAGAATAAACAAGAAAGACAAAAAAAAAACACAAAAATTTATTCTATACAAATATTTTATTTTCCAAGTAAATCTTTTGCTTCTTGTTCTTCTTTTAAAAGATCATCAGATACATATTTAGCAAGTAATTCTTGTTTTTTTCGTTCTAATAATGCACGTTCAATCTAAAATATATATATTGATTTTGATAAATATAAATTTCTTAACAGATTCTTACTTCTTTTTGACTAGGAACAGGTACATGTGCGATAAATATATGATCTTTTGATGTAACATCAACATCGGTTCGAGTTGATTGACCAGCAATATAATCTTCATCGTCGGACTAAAGGAAACGTTTTTTTTTTAAATCATTTTTTATATTTCATCAGACTTTCTCCTCAGAACATCTAGATTATTATACTGACAAATGTATGAGAAACGAAAAGATTAATAAAAATTTACATATCTGAACTTTATTCTATAGGCAAATAGTACACTTTGCAGTTTTAGTATATCAAATATGCAGATGTTAAAAAGAGTACATAGATATGTATAAAAATACGAATATACGAAGGAATTTCGTTACTTCATCGTTCTAGTTCTCACTGCTCTTATAGATTGAAAGAGTTTGTCTTATGAGGAAACCACAGGAAGTAATTTATAACTTTTAAGAACATATATGTTGTGCATAAAGAAGATCTGTAGACTAGAATAATTGCAAAAAGATTCAGATTCATAGACATTCTCTACAGAGTTACGAAAATTTTATTCGATTTTTAACCTGAGATTTTGTCTATAAGTAGGTCTCATGATACTAAGAAAATCTAAAAAGTTTCAGTCAAAACAATTATTTCTGAAATTCAATCGAGTTTCGAACATTGAATGTTTCATGAAGAAAACAATCATTTTCACTGAAACTTCTGCGACATTCTTAGTATCATGAGAACTACTTATAGAGAAAATCTCAAACTAAAAATCCTTTGATTTAACTGTCAATATCCTGTTCTATGGTAAAAATCGAACAAAACTTTCGTAACTCTGTAGAGAAGATCTACAGCTCTGAATATTTTTGCAGTTATTCTAGGTTATCAGTTTTCCCTGTGTGTCCAAAATATGAGCTGAAAAGTGATGAATCGATTCGAAAGATTTCATCGTTAGTAATCAAAATTAGTATGATTATAAATCAATTTAGTGTAACTAACGGCTAGACCAGAAACTTTTACATCAAATGTCGATTTATTTTTGATTTGCTCTAAGTATTTTGAATGAAAGTTTATATCTCCTTTCATCAATTAGTTGTGAAAGAAAATTCGTTTGCATAACTTACAAGGAAACCTTTTCAAACATCGCTTTTGATTTCCATGATTCTTTTTTGCCTATAAATACTACAGTGTTCTAATAAAATCTATAAAAGATTTTGGTTCCTATTCATATTTGACTAAGCTATCGAATTTCGATCTAAGTTTTTGTGCATATCAAGAACTCAACCAGAATGGTTTTTATAAAAAAAACCACTCAGAAGTTTTAAACAAAATCTTTTCTAGATATGAGACTTTCAAGATATAGATGTTTTTCCATAGATAGTGTATACAACATGCATCTTTTTAATAGCTTCATATCTCGAAGAGATTTTCTTGAAAACTTGTGAATGTTTTATGGAAATAATCTAGTTGAGTTTTCTACATGCACAAAAGTTCAGATCGAAATTCGATAGTTTAGTGACATTTGAATGGGAACCGATATCTTTTTAGGATTTTTATTAGAACACTCGATAGTATCCATAGGCAAAACATTATTGAAATCAAACGGGGGTGTCCGAGAAAGTCCCTTCGTTAGTGGTTTTATTATGATTTCTATAGAAAGTTTTAGTTTTAAGTTTAATATCAAGAAATTATTTCGTTAGAATTTCGTATAATAAAGAAAAATATGACATACATCCATTTCTGGTAAGACATATGCTTCATCAATATCTGTATTATTTATCTCATTATTTTTCCATTGTTCAAGTTTTTTTTTAATTGCTTCTTTTTCACATTTTTCTTCACTTGGAATAAGTAAACCATCATCGTCATCCATATAACCATAATAATCAGCATCAATATTTTTCAGCATTTCACCACGAAGTTTTTTCGACGGTGCAGGTGCTAAAATTTTAATGAATCAAATGATAACATTAATAAATTTATTTATTTCTTACGTTCTTGTTCAAATAATTCTCGTACACCAGGTAAATCTTTTGCAGCACCGAAATATCTATAAAAATAAAAGAAAACATTTTTCTAATGAATGATTAAATTATTCTTTTTTTCTTACTTATAACCACGATTACCGGGTACTTCTTTTCCTTCATTATCAAGCATTTTTGGTGCTGTTTTTTTAAAATCAACTCCACCAAGTTCTTTCACACGATCTTCCCAATGAGATTTTTCACGTAAAAGTTTATTTATTTCATCATTAAGATCACGAATTTTATATTCGCCAAGACCAGCTTAAAAAAAAATAATAATAATAATAATAAAAGAAAATTTTATTTAATAAATTTATTTCTTTACCATTTTGAATTTGTGCTACTTTTTTTGCTATTTCACGTACAACTTGATATCGCCATTTTTCAGCTCTTCTTACATTTGTTTCATCAGTAGCTAAATGTGGACGACGATCAACACGAAGTTTTCCTTGTTCCTTTAATTGTAACTGACGCCAACGAGCTAATGCTGTCATAGCTTTTTCTGAATTACGAGCCATTTTTTATGATACTACTTATTAAAAAAATATCACTAATGTAATTGAAATTTCGTGTGGAAAAAA